AAAGTTTCGTACCTAGCCGAAGTTGGTCATGGTTGAGGCTTCAGTACACAATAACAACAAATACGGTGATTTGTTATAAATTAAAGAAACTGAGGTGAAAAATACCACACGTAAAGTCGATCTTTAGTTTAGTCAAATATTAAATTTTTTATAAAGTTTTCATATCAGACCAATAATTAGAAACAAAATCAAAGTGGTAGAAGGAAATCAGAAATAAAAAAGCTTTAAAAAGAAATAAAAATCACAAAATCGATTAAAAACAAAATTCAGGTACCAAGTGAAGATTTCACTTTGTAATATATATTATTTTTATTGTTTACGGGTACAATTTGATTTTCTTCATATGAAAAAATGTTATTAGTTTATTTTTACTTAATTTTATTTAAGAATTTACTATCATGTGTTATTTTGAACAAAAATGTTTTAAATATTAATTAACGGTATATTAATATATTTATCATCACATTTATATACTTTTACATATACATACATGTACACATTGACATGAGCGACTATATAACTAAATATTCACCACAAGTGAGAATTTTAATTCTTATTGAAGTTGAATATTTTCTTTCACTATCGCTCAAATTGTAGTGAAATGTTTTGTGTTAATACATTTCTTTTCTTTTTTCTTCAAATATTATTTAGATTTTGTTTGATTTTACATGTCTTTAGAAATTATAATAGGAAATTATTAGTTCGACATAAAAAAATGTCTAAAATTTATATAAAACGAAACCAAACAAATAAAAATAAAATGTCTAAAATTTATATAAAACGAAACCAAACAAATAAAAATAGTTTTTGGTTATCATTGAAAAAATTAAAAGTATCAAACATTTAAACCAAACAAATCAAAATAAAAATTGATTTAGAATGATAGTTATATTTTAGGATATTGAAAAAACAACGTAAAACTGAACCAATATCCATGCTAAACAAACATAATATCATTTTTATCTTAAAAGTAACAAAAATAACATATTACCTAGTAATTTATTAAAATTCAATTTTTATTTTTGCAGTAACTGTCAAACAAACAAACAAACAAAAAGAAAGAAAGCAGTAGTTGAAGTCGTTTTCTTTCTATATATCCTTTAGCAATAATAGCGCTTTCCTCATCTTTTCCCACTGAGTAGATATATATGCTGCAGACATCTTATGGAATTGGCACGTGACTGAGAAGAGTAAAGGCACGTTCTTAAAGTCGTGATGGTGAGGGAAGAAGACTTAACATGGTGGTGATGGCGGCTGAGGGAAGGAAAGTTCGTTGGCGGTGTGGTGTGCCCAGCAAGAAAGCCGAGCCTACAAATCAATTTCAAGACCTATAGTGGTCCAAAATTCTAAGGATCTCCTAAGAAAATTCCATTTAATGTGACAGAAAAGAATAATACTCAGTATATCCAGCGATATGAGCCATTATACTTATTGGCTTTGGCTGTTAATATTGGAATAAGATGCATATTTATTCTCGTACTTCTGATGCATAACAAAATTATGATTTTCAGAAACAGCAGAGTGGAGGATGCACACATCAACTTCAAGCATGGTGGATAAAGATGAGCCTTCAAGCAAGTGTTTTAACTTAATTGATGTTTTAAAATTTGCACATATATTAATAATAATTAAACACATATTTCGATTTATTATATTTTTGTTAGTTTTATTTGCTTCCCAATAAAATCAAGCCACTCGTTTTTCATATTTGATTTATGTTTTAGTTTTCCCGTGAAATGCATTAATTAAAAATAGAACATCAATTTTTGTATGCATTATGCAAGTAAATTTTTTTTTTCAAAATAAATTATTTGTATAGAGAGAAACTATAATAGAAGGTTTTATGTATTTAGGTTGATACACATAATTAATTATTGTTAAAAAATATTTTGTGTATCAACCTAAATACATAAAAGCTTTTAAAACTCTTTATAAAAATAATTAAAATGCATTGATTAAAAATATTATGTACCCAAGAAACAACTTTCTTCTAGTTCCTAATATTATGATACACATAATATTTTTCTCCTTTTTAATGAGAACGAAAAAGAAGACTTCTTTATTTATTTTGAATATATTTAAATATTCTGTAACGTTTACTTAACTATTAAATCTTTATTAAAATTTTCATTAAACACATGAAAAAAAACTTTTCATTAAATTCAAGTTATATTACATAGCATAATTAAATTTTAATTAGTCTTTTTATATCTTATTAGTTCTTGGTTTTAAAATTATTTTCATTATGTATTAATTATTAATTATTTTATATCATTGTGTATTATAGGTTAACCTTAAACTTGGTGGTAAAAAGGGAACCAAAAATCTGTGAGGTTCAGTATTTTTATTTTCGTTGGTATAAATATAATTAAATGTATAAAGATTAATAGTGTAAATTGATTTATCCTCTTTCTCATGAATTTTATTTATTTTAATTATAATTGTTTTGTTTTAATTATATTATATATTTTCACTAAAGGATTATTTTTATTATAATTATCATAACTTTATTTATTATAATTATAATTTTTTTAATTATATTATATATTTTCACTAAATGATTATTTTTTTTAAGAAAAAAATTAATGTTAATTTTTTTTTGGTTTCTTTAAAAATAAATATTAGTTCTAATAATTTAGAAGTTATTAAATTGTTTGAAAGTTTCGATGGTTGTATTTAGAGTTCACTTAATGTTTCTGTGCGACATGTTATACGGATCAGTGTTATATAGTTGTGTATTTTTGCAAGTTTTGTTCTCGAGCCTATGGTATTATGTGCTAATTTTTCTCCAACTTATTCTTAAAAACTATCAATCAAGTAGAAAGATATTTTTTCTCATTTACTTTTTTATTACTCTTTCAAAAGAGATAAACGCACACTTATCGTTGTGTTAGATATAGTGAACGTAACATTATTTTCCCATTTTCTTTCTCTTTTTCATTTTATTTTTTTCTGATTCTATTTGATCAGAAAAAAACTGTGAGATCTTAGCAGCCACTGAAGTGGTGTTATAAGGTGAAATATTATGAGCAAGGATGGTGTTAAGCTAATGACATATTATTTTGTCAGGTTATACGCCTGAAATTCAAATTTATTTTATCTTCATCTTGTGTGTATTCGTTTCAAGATAATTGATTGTTATTTAGTGTTTAGTTTGTCTATAATAAAATGAATAACATGTTCACTTAAACATGTTCACTTAGCACATTTCACCATCTCTATGAAAATTTGATGTCCGTTTATATTTTGGACATTTTTATTTTTATCTACTGTCAAACCTATTTTACAATATTATATTACTTTTAGTATTATAATATTTTATGTTTTGTTTGTTTTTCATAAAAACACATAGTTATTTTTATGCGTCCGATTATTTTTTATACGCAGTAATTAATATAAGTTCAGTGCGTATACAATGTCTTTTTAACAGCAACATACAATATAATTTATGTGACAATCTTTGTATTTGTTTGATGTATTTATTCCTTTGGATTTATTTTATATTCTGATTTTTTCTGTATATTTAATGCATATTAATTCATAAGGTTCTATATATATATATATATATATATATATATATATATATATATATATATATATATATATATATTCAAATTTAGTGAGCATCTGATTTTTCTTAATTTATTGAAAATAATAATAACATTAAATTTCACTATTTGTATGTTTATTTTATTATATAAGTAATTTCTAACATTTGTCAATGTTGATAAAATAAAATATCTAAGAATATAAATTATGGATTATTTTCAGCTTTATACATTTTTAATTCATGGATACAATGATTTATTTTAATATATTTTTTTGTCTCAAAATACAAAAAATTCATACTGTTTAAAAAGAATTGATAAATGCATTCACATAAAATAATTTTTTTTAATATTAAATATTAATTTTTTGTGTAAGAATAAATATTGGATGCCATGTGTCACTTTCTCTTCATCTTATTTAGTGACATGGCATCATAAGAGGGAAGAAAACTCTTCTTCATATAATAAGATTTTAAATCTAATATAAAGATACGACAATTTCAAAAATTGATAAACTAATTGATGTTTAGTTTGTTGAGGTCTTGTATTACTATTATATATAATTGATATGTAGATTGTACTTTGATCAACTTAACGTTGGGTAAAAGTTTTTTTTTCCATTCCTCTAAATCTTACATTTTCATATGCTTAACACATAAGCTGACTATGAAATGAATCAGTATTACATAGCACAAAATCCTTGCTGAAACCTCAGTTTTGCAGTAGAAGCAACAGCCAAGAAAACAAAATGAGAAGTTTGACAAAGCAATAGCTAGACAATGAAACTAAAAAAGCTTCATATCATCACATAAATAAGTAATGCAAGTTTACAACATTTATTTATCTACACCATAAGCAGCCACACAAGTAAGAGTAGATTTCTAGCTCGTCTGTGTGAAACCTGCAATGCCAAAAACCAAGGACAAAGTTGGTCATCGACCAGCTTGAACGTTCTCCCCATCTGCAGTGAAGAAAAGAAATATTTCAGGACCTGGAAATAGACAATGCAACAATCAAGAAGTTTTAGGAAGGATACTGAAACAATCATTTACAGAATTTTTTCACAAGTGAATGCACATAAAAAAAGAATAATAATTTATGTTACAACTGGCCAAGTGTCTCTAATGAACTCAACGATGTCATAAATTATCTCCTTCATTAATTTGCACCATTACAGTTGGCAGCTGAAACATAGATAACTTTAACCATAAGAGGAAGAAAAACGAAACAAAACAGATTGGTGCTGATGCGGTGAGCGGTCCTAAGCTGTATATTAAGAGGAAGATTTATACAACTGTCCTGACCCCAAATTTTGAAATGCAAGAATCAAAAGGTATGAAATCTAACATAGGTACAAACTCTACAAACCATAAGCACATAATGTATTATGCATATTTAGTTTTATAATATGCATACCTTGACAACTGATGCTCCAACTTCATCCGAAGGATTTTAGAACTTGTAATCCGGGTTGTTACGAAGGCTGAGTTTTGACAGGAAAAGGCAGTAAGAATCACAGTCAGTTTGTTTTGTACTGCGGTTATACAGCCACAAGGTATATAGCATTAGATATTTCAATAGCTTCTTCCATTTCTGAACCATAGCAAAAAGTCCCTTCTGTGAATGCTTGTCCTGCGGTTATACAGCCACAAGGTATATAGCATTAAGCGTACATAACAATATCGAAATAAACTTGGAGTTTTACCTTTTTGTGCAGAGCAGACGATATATGCTTAATTTTAGTCGTGAGCTGCGCAACTACAAAAGAGAAACAAAAGACAATATAACCAAAAGCCATATTAGGAAATGTGATCCTTTTGATAGCTTATAACAAAAGCCAACACTGATCAGATCCAGTCGCCTTATACATATAATTTACCTTGCACACGTGCAGAACCACAATCTGATTCCGACATCTTGAAATCTTCCCTGACTTTCGTGAGCTCAGTTTGCATATTCTCCACAGAGGAAAGATTATCTATGTGGAAGTACTTCGTTGATGAGGCCACATAAAAACAGATCAATATCCACAATTTATCTAATGGTCGCAAAAGATCAACAGAGCATTGTACAAAACCATCATAACCAAAGAACAAAAAAAAACAGAACCAAATAAGCTTTTAATTTAAAACTACTTAGATTGACACGATTTCACAAAGGTGATACACTTGCGCTTGTAACACACAACCTTTTCAGTAACAACTTCTTGCCTCTCTTCTATAGGATTGAAGCATGAGTAATCACTGCCAGTGGAGTCCAAGTTGTAAAGAGAAGAGCAAATAAGAGAGCTGGGATGATGTGTAAGCAAACATGATCCATGCCATGTTTCTTGTGGTAAGTTATCTTCACTTGTCCTACGTTTTCACAAACTATTGTCAGATGAAGAAATTAAAAACTGAAACTTTACCTATCTATGAAACTTTTCTTCTCAATTCACGAAGTCAATTATAGCTAGAACATGATGAGGATAAAGTAGTAAACCCTAAAAGGAATTGAAGAAGACACAAACTCACTTGGCGTTGGCGATTTCGAAGAGGCGAAGTGAATCATCCTCGCTGTATGTAACCAGTAGATCATCAGTCCTATGGAATCCTACCGAACGTATCTTCCCTCCTATGGACGGATTTTGGCAAAAGTTAATCAGAGTAAGGAAAGGAAAAAGAAAAGAGAAGTATAGTTCGTACGAAATCAGAGAAGACTGCTCCGATAGCCATCCTCCATACAAATCCGTCGTCTAACTCCTTCAACGACATTATGATATGAACAAACAGTGAAGCAGAGTGTTAGCCAATCAAGAATATTCCAATAATATTACGTTCCTATATTCGTGGAAGATCCCACGTATCTTGTAACAGTTTTGTGTTTATATACCCATGTAAATCTGTAAATCAATCCAAGGGAAATATTTCCAGTTTCACATAGAGAGAGAGGCATAATAATATTGATTAGAACAAACAAATAGTGAAGCCATAAAGATGGGAGTAGAGGGATCTGAGTAAAAGAGGTAATTAAGAAGGGGAGATGAAGAAACAGAGAAGATGGAACTGGGAAAGTGAATCGATCGCCATCTGTGTGATTAGGGTTGTAAACTATGTTTCGTCGACATAGCCGTGAATTTTTTTTCACTCAAGAATTGGTTACATGGCCAATAGAACAACCCTGATTGGTTGATTTTAATGTCTGACGTAGACACCCTAAACACTCACGATATCGCCCTTTTAATATTGTTTTGATTTTTATAAAATGAGTTACGTGCTATTCGTACAAGTTCCATACCTTCTATAACTAATAGAATAGCAACCCTACAAAACTCTATAAACTCAAAACGTTTTTTTATAAACAATTGAGCGTCTAATAAATGATTTGGCATTTTCAAATCAAATAAAGATTATAGACGTATAATAGCTAGTGGTCTTAATTTCGACTTTCTTTTATCTTTACCTTAACGATTCATCGTTCTTTCATCCGAATTTTTTTAAATATATATGATACAGAAGGAATATAAGATGAATAATCAAAATGGTATGGCTAAAAGCAAATGATACATTTCTTTGTGACCCTTCGAGCAATTTCTACGTCAAGAGAACATATTCGTTTCTTACTTTAATCACGCTAAAGTATTGTCATGCCACAACGAAATGAGAATATATCCCAACTTTTTTCTATTATCATCATCATTCATCAAATAATTTTAATCCCCCAATATTTTCCATTTTTTTTTTTTTTTTTTGACAACCCCCCAATATTTTCCATTATAATCGTATATCTGTCTTCTTTAATCTGACTTTGGACGTACCATGTCAATCTAAGTAAACATAATATATATAATATGCGACATATATGCCTCCACATTAACACCCCTTTTCATCAACATGATGATGCCTCTTTTGACCATTTGGGTGTGTTATAACATGCATGATCACCTCACTATATATAAATAATTTAGCGTATTAAGCTTGAATTCTCTTTAGTGCCTCCAATAATGTATTTGCTACAATCATACACTAGAGTTTGATCCGCATGCCCACATAGATACTGATTTTTACGTTTTTATATATTGATATTTCTTTTTCATTATTAATGTTATATATTTAGATATACTGCATATAATTAATTGTATTCAAAAGATTCAGATCAAGTCGAGTAATATTGTTATTTTTCGTACAAACATTCAAACCCGTTTTTGATACATTGGTTATTTGGATATTATTAGATTCCTATATATCAGAACTGAATTCATCCAGATCGCGAGGACCCAACTCGTAATCCATACATAAACTTATAATATTCAAACAAGACCTAATTTCAAAACCCCAAAAATCGATATCCGAAAAAACAACTCGTACCTGAATTGATACTCAATGTTCATGCATAACTGATTCTCTAAACTAATAAAAATTACTTTTTCTATGTGTTTGACTAAATTAAGTGAAATATAAAGAATTTATTATTTAGTAAAATAATTATATGGAGTGAAATGGAATGAATTTTTATTATTTCTATTTAAGTTATTATTTTATTGACATAAACATGTCTTTGAGGTAAGTGTTTGGTTACATAGTTTTTCACTGACTGAAACTTAAATAGTAAAAAGATTTAGTAAAACAAACTGAACCAAACTTTCAACCATATGCAAAGTATAATTATTTTACATTTTCAATTTTTATAATTAACATACAGTTAATGTTGTTAACTATAATAAATAAAAAATCTGCACTATTATTATTATGATAATATAATTAACGAATTGAAATATTATTACGGTAATATAATTAATGAAATTGTTAAACTGAATAAAAAATATAAAGACAATTAATGTAATAATTTATTGTAAACAAGGTTAGTTCTATTTCTACTTCATTTTTAACTCTGTTCAAAAACGCTGCGCTTAGCCGATTAATCTTCCAATTAAGATTAGGCATTCGGTGTGAGTGAACCGCCTTGATTTTAGTGGAATCGTTTTAACTAATGGACAAGCCGAATAATCGATAAAAAACAATTAAACTCTCTAAAATCGTATTAAAACCAATTTAAATCGCTTAATAATTGAACTTCATTGACAAAATTTGGGCCAGAAAACAAGCTCATTTGTTTGCGAATAAACAATACTTTGTCCCTGTATTTATAGGGAACTTCAAGACCTCCCTTGTCGTTGTTAATCAATGTGGGACAAAGGTAAGTATTTTGATAAAAAAAATGAGTCGCATAATAAAAAGGAAATTATACTGCAAGTGTATCGAACCCTCGGGACTCTACCTCGTAGTGTAACATACGCGTCACAAACCAAGACTATCATACTTAGTCGTTCAATTTCCACCTATATTAGTACTTATACATATATGTGAAACTAAAAAGATAAAAACTAGTTTTCGATTAATCCCTGGGTAATTCCCAATTTATCAATCAGGTGCTAGGCCCATGCCGAGCTCTCGACTAGCGCCTAACGAGTTCTTAAACATGAAATTTTAATAATATAGATGCAAAATCTAACTATTTTACATTTTTGATTTTTGTAATTGGCATAAAATTAATGTTGTTAACTATAATACATAAAAATCTCCACTATTATTATTACTAGGTAAGGAATCCGTATAATATCGCACATAAACTCATTTTGTAAGAAAATGTTACTACATTATATACAATTATTTTGGGGAAATTAATATATGTTACAAAAATATATTGCATGCAATTATATTCATTTATTGATAATACCAAAAGTGATATTTTATTTAATAGGTTAGTTATAATAAAACTACAAATATGTCAATATCAAATAATCTATTTCTTGTTATCCATTTAGAAAAAATATTAAAAAATATTAAAATAATTAAATATTTGATACTAAATAAAAAGTAAACACATTTCAATCTAATCATTTACTAAATTAATAAGATAAATAAAAAAATATTTGAATCTTCATGATTTATTTAAAACTATTTAAGATGTATACGGTCAAAAACATAACTACATAGTTTTTTTAAAATATTACACACATCTTTATTTCTTTTTTTCCTTGTGCATCTTCTATAATAAAGAATATTTTCATGAAATACATGCTTAAAATTTAGAAGATGGTTTTAGTATAACGATAACAATACACAAATTGAAAGAATTTTAAATTGTTTATCCCTTCAAAATATCACTACGTAATACATCTTGAATTTATAAAGTCAATGATAGTCTTATGATTTTTCAAGGTAACTATTCATCGGACATAAATAATAAATTATCTTTCAAAAATGCATTTAATGCTCCAACTCCACTTATCTCATTGCACAATAAATAAGTAATAAAAATCATTGTTAACTATATATTCATTTTTCCAAACAAAATTTTCAACTTTGATTAACAATTAAACATTAGAATTTTTAGCTAATGGTTAACACCAATAATTATCAACAATAATACATAGCCAAAAGATACAATAATTATCAACAATAATAATAATTCATTACCAAAGATTGATATGCCAAAAGGTTTTAGTCACCAACGGTTACAATGTTTCAATGTATCATCCAAAATCTCAATGAAAAAAATCATTTTAATCTGGAAAGATACATCATTGTGAAAAATGCTTCTTTAGATATTTTGTTTTAAAATTAATAAAATATTAAAATGAAAAGATATACTTTTTAATATTTGTTTGAATTCATATCATTAATTTTTATAATGGTTCATCACTAAGAATTTGAAAAAGTTTGTTGATAACTTTGTTGATAACGTTTCATTTGAATTTAGATTTTGTTTGTACGTAGGTGACTCCACATAAATATTTTTCTTCACCATTTCAATAAATTTTTGAAATATTTACAATAAGAAATTTATCGAATAGACTATTTATAAGTTTCAAAGACCTATATGAAAATTTTCATGATTTTTAAATTTTAGAATTATGTAGGTACTTTAAGATACTACCTTTACAATATATTATGAATAGACACATTATTATAAAAAGGAAGTGTATTGAATTAAAAGCTGAGATGGACCAGATGGACACAAAAAAATATGGAATAGGACACTTTTGTTTTAATTTTTAATGAATTTATAATAAATCGAAATTAAACTAAATATACCATAAAACCTAAAACTTCAACATATTTACAAATCCAACCAGTGTATCCACCCATTTACCCGGTCCACATTTTAGAAATCTGATTTCCTCCTAAATCCCTAATTTTTTTGTGATCTTCGACATAACCAACAAAAACACGATCTCCTTCTATCTCCCCTCACTAATCAAACTTTGCAAAAAAAAAAAACCTTGAATCTCATCTATTTCTCTATTTCGTGTCTCTCATTGAATCTCATTTATGGCTCTAAAGACTCGATCCGCCGGAAATACAAGCAAGGAAGGTGCGCTGGAGAAGAAGAACGAGTCAGTGGTGGAGAAGAAAAAATCTACGGCAGAGAAGAGGAAAGCTGCGGCGGCGGAGAAGAGGAAAACTGCGGCGGAAAAGAAGAAGGACTCTGCTCTAAAAGAAACATTGGTGAAAAAAAGGAGAGAAGCTGTGAAAAAAGGAGAGGATATGTGAAAGAAAATAGAGATGCAGCGAAAAAGAAGACTAAAACCGCAGAGAAGAAGAGGAAGCGAGACAGTAGTGTAGATGGTGAGTCCTCGTCGAATCCAATCAAGCGGAGTCGGACCGCATCTCCACCAAAACATCAAGCCGATCCCAATCATTCCCCGGCACTATCAGCGAAATTGCTTTCTCAGGATGATAAAGAGGGTACGCCAAGTCCATCACATCCGACTGAGCCACAAAAATCACCTACTCAAACACCCAATGAGGCGGAGAATCCACGGCAAGCTCCAATAAATTCTAACAACAGAGAGTCATGCTCACCCGAGGCATCCATTAACAATGAAGCGCAACGAACGGTAAACAAATCAATTTAAAATGGTTTTGAAATTTTTTATGATAAGATTGAACTAACAAATAAGAAATTGAGAAGATTGGATCTAACAACAGAGATTCAAACTCATCTGAGGTTGCCACTGGATATGCTGCCATGGACAATGACGCACCAAGAACGGTAAACAAATCAATTTGAAATGGTTTTAAGAATATTTATCATAGGATTGAACTAACAAATAAGTAGTAATTGTATAAGAAGTTTAACTAGTACAACTAAAAGAATGAAACTAGTTCAAGTGGTAATAAAATGTTATAAAACAGAATCAGTATAACTAGTACAACAAGGTTTTATAAGTAATATAACTGATACAACTATCAAAAGTATAACTAGTTTAACTAATACAACTGAGTATTGTATAACTAGTACAACTAAAAACGTGAGAAAAGGTGCAACTGGTAGTAATATATATGTTGTACACAGATTTAGGATAACTAGTATAACTAATACGGCCACGCTTTTTATAAGTAATATAATTGGTACAACTATTGATAGTATAACTAGTTTTACTAATACAACTGAGTATTGTATAACTAGTACAACTAAAAGAGTAAAAAAGTTGCAACTGGTAATAATATGTTGTAAACATATTTAGGATAACTAGTACGACCACACTTTTTATAAGTAATATAACTGGTACAATTATTAAAATTATAACTGGTTAAACTAGGACAAATGAGTATTGTTTAAGTAAATGGTTTTATTGATGTATAATTTGTCTAACTGGTACAACTAAGCGTCTTATACATTTCCATGGGGTCGTTACACTTTTGATGATTAATTGAAGGAGATTTTACATGTGAGAGATCATATCCGTGATGGGATCCCAGACCTGGTCCAATGGGTATTTCATGGGGTTTATCAACCCTTTGGAGGTATATGAAGTTGTATTTTCATAATATATATAACTAATATGATTTGTGTGAAATGATGTGCATATTTTGGCATTTGAATGTATCCCCTTCCTTAGGGAAAGATTCAGAGACCCTGTTCCAGACTGTCATGATGGTTGTCCAAGAATGTGCAAATGGAAGTTCAAGAGGACCGGGACAACATGATTTCCATTGGACCAGATTTATCGGACTCTAGGACAGACAACCGTAAAATCTTTTAATTATTATGTGTTGTTTATGTTATTGTATGCAAGTTTATAGTTAATTAAATGTGTGGTTTGGTCATATTTCAGGTGATTTCCAGTATTTTGAAACCACAGGGATATGAAGTAGATCTTTTGTATGAAATCATGGATGAAGGAACTTGGAAAGACGTGGACCTGATAGATGATTCGGATAAGCCAGACGCAACCGTTGATAGTTGGAACCAGATCCTTATACAAACGGGGGGTAAAACTTTCTGGCCGGATCTATTCGATATGGATGTGAGAACCCGACCTATCACACAACTGGAACCCGAGGCAAAGGATGAGACAGAGGGCGAGGCAGAGGGTAAGGGAGGGGATGAGGCAGGGGGTGTGGCAGGGGGCGAGGTAGGTCGTGAAAGTGTATCAGAATTGGAGTTGAGGTTGAATAAGAGAATGGACGATGGATATGCATTGAGAGACGAAACAATTCGTCTTCTGGAAGCAAGAGTAAAAGAGTTGGAACAAGACAAGATTCAACGAGAAAGATGGTCATTCCAGTTTGGTGAACCTGGAACCGGTTATGCTTCAGGAGGAAATGCAAGAGGTAATTGATTTTGAAATTAGTTTTTGTCTATTAGGTGATGCAGGAAAATTCAGTAAATGCATGAAGTAAATGTTTTTGTGTATTAGGTGATGCAGGAAAAGATTCAGCTAATGCAGGAAATGATCTAGTTGATGCACATTTAGACACTGTAGATGTGGACAATATTCTTGCTACCAAGATAGGACTTTATGCAGATAAAGACACTGCAGGTGCAGACACTACTCTTGTGTTTTTTAATTGATGTGAAATCTGTTTAGATTTGCTTTGTGATATAAATTTTGTGTTGTGTGCTGGTTTTGTTGTGGTTTTTTTTGTTGCTGTAGAGGCTGAGAAGGAGGGCGAGACAGAGACTGCCAAAGATGCTGAGATAGGTGAGAAGGAGGGCGATACAGAAGCTGATAAGGATGGTGAGGAAGGTGAGAAGCAGGCCGAGACAGAGGCTGCCAAGGATGGTGATGAGAAAAAGGCGAGACAGAGGCTGCCAAGGATGGTGAGATAGGTGAGAAGGAGAGCGAGAAAGAGGCTGATAAGGATGGTGAGGAAGGTGAGGAAGGTGAGAAGCAGGCCGAGACAGAGGCTGCCAAGGATGGTGATGAGAAAGAAGGCGAGACAGAGGCTGGTAGAGAGGGTGAAGAAGGTGAGAAGGAGGGTGAGACAGAGGCTGATAAGATGATGGAAGGTAAGGATCTGTTGTACATAAACTCCTTAAGACATAATTTAATTTGTTGTTTTATATTATAGATGATGATGCGGAGGAGTCACCATCTACACTTGACGTGATGACAGAAGCTGTGGAGAAACTCGAGAAAGAAGTTGCTGAGAAGGTTGCTGCTGATTTGGCCGCTGCTGAGTTGGCTGCTGCTGAAAACGCAGGTACTGATAAGGTTGGTTATGTGGAGGAGACGAGGCCGAAGAAGTCACATAAACCTTCTCGTCCGCTCAGTTCTCCATATGAGCCAAATTGATAGCTATTTGGAATAGCTTTGAAAGCTTAAAGTTATGTTTCTATTAAAACTTGTGACTTATGTTTATTTTGAAGTTAGAACTAATGACGTATGTTTGTTAAAACTTATGACTTATGCTTGCTAAAACCTATGTATGTGTGTATTTTAAAACTGATTTGGTGGTTGAATTATGTTATTTACACCAATCAGAGGGAAAAATTAGAACAACTAGTAAAACATCAACTACACCAAAAAATAAAAAAACTAGTACAACTAGTGTTCAAATTCATTTTCTGAAACAAATTTAAAACGTGATGCACATTAAACACAATACAAAATGAAAACAAAAAAATGGTACATATTTGTATTAGCTTTTTAGTTATATCGATTTGTACATAGTTGTACTTTTGCCGTGAAATCGAAAAAACTGGTTATACCACATAAAAGTTAAACTTTCCTCAGTTGTACCCCTTCTTTATCTATACATGTCTTTGTCCCAATAAAATGAAATCATCAATTTTGTTAAAACACACTCGATGTATGTTTTCCCAAAAATATGAGGACAAATAAGTTAACAAACCTTAAAAGTATAAAGTAGATCATGCAAACTTATGTGATTGTGTTATATTTTCAAAAAAAAAAATCCATTATATATCAAAATAAACTTATCTAAAAACTTATCAGGCTGACCAGCTGATTGTTTTTTTTTTTCATATGCAATATCTAATAGAATATTTAAATTCTAGAATCTTAATAGTTGTACTAGTATATTCTTCATGGTATATATAACGTAGTTGTACTCGTTACACTAGTATTACGATACATAGTTATATCAGCAATACAAGTATTACAACACAGAAACATGATTGTTATGTTATATGAAGTACTACCTGAAATGAGCAATACATTACATAAATAAGTTCAGAACACATAAATTCAATAACAAATAAGTAATACTCATTCATCATTTCTTTCGTTTCAACTTCCTTCGTTATCACCTCCTTCATGACCACTTTCTTCGCTTTCACTTCCCTCGCGCCACTTTCATCACTGTCACTTCCTTCATTCTCATCAACTAATGGTGGATACTTCTTTCTCTTCCTCTGATATTCACCTGCAGATGGGAACTTAGTAACTTATAGTCTTCTTTTCTTTTTCTCAACATAGGGAGGAAAGACAACCTGAGATCGGATTTCCTCAGAAATTTCGTAACTTTCCCATGATGAATGATGAGGCATAGATATAGTGTCCTTTAATATGCCTAAGTCCACTGCTCCATCCAGTAATACCTAGAACAGTAATGTTCAGCCATTTCTTCACGCGCCATGATGGCAGCAAGTGCATGTACACAAGGATAACGATCAATATCAAAACACCTACAATAGCATGTTCTGTAGCTAAAATCAACAAAATAACCTTGACCGTCCTTACCAATCACATTTTACCGACATTCACATCTGTTTAGCTCCATCACCCTGAGCTTTTTTGCCTTTGGATAATTGTGATGCAATATTCCATGCACATACGGAACTAGTATCTGCCTCTCTGGTACGCGTAAAGATAATTTTTGATATTTGTTAAACCATTCTTTAATCTTCCCTACGACCACATCAATTATTGGCAACAACGCATATGTCCTTGGTAACTTTAAAACACCATTGATAAATTCAACAGTGTTGGTTGTATCTATGTTGTACCTTTCTCCCGGAAATTTACATCTAGCTTATTTGGTCTCATGAACACATTCATCTAGATAGTTGGTGGCTTGAGGATACATGCTCCTGAAATCATTGTAGCATTTTCTGAACTCTATCTCTGTGTACATACCGGTAATTTTTTCTAAACTATTTGACAACTCCTTTCTTGTTAAAATTATTGCATGCTCCGCTGACATTATTCGACAAGTGATACTTGCAATATCCATGGATTGCCAATGGGTACACCTCGTATACTTTCTTGATGATGCTTTGGTTCCTATTAGTACAAAATACAAGCTGAGGGTCATCTGGTATTAAAGTTTTCAATATAGTCAAAAATCACTTCCAGCTTGCATTTTTCTCACCGTCTACTACCGTAAAAGCGAGAGGATAATGATGATGATCTGGATCCTGAGCAGTGGCAATGAGAAGCACTACTTTGTACACACCCTTCAGGTAAGTTCCATCAATTATTATCACTTTACTCATCGCCTTAAATCCTTCAATGCAAGCTCTAAGCGCAAAGAACATATACTTAAACTGATTCGTCTCATCCACTACTAATCGTGTTATGGTATCAAGATTCATCATTTCTAAGATGTACAAGTAAGATGGTAGTCTAGCAAAACTCTCTTTAAGGTTACCACGCATATCACTGATAGCTTGGTGTTTCCCTCTCAAAGCCGTAGAATATGAAATTGTGACACCTATTTTGTTCTTCACCAAACCTATGAGAGTCTTTGGATCCGGACTCTTTAATTTGCCTGGATAATCAGCGTGCACCACTGATGCGACCGAGCTTGGTGTGCCTCTTTCCCCCTTCTTGGTTACACTTCCCTCTCCTTGAGTACATATATGCATCTTTCTATACTTTCTGATAGTGAAAAACTGAGTTTTTAAGCTTTGCAGCTTGTAAATACCATCTGCATCCAATCCCACGAGATTTTAATACGTAAATCACACGATTTGACTTCAATATATCAACCTCAAAGCAACTCGAATGCACTCCTTTTTCCACTAAATCCCTCACTTCATCCTTAGTCGCAAATTCTTGATGCAAACTCATTTCAATACCATCATCCCACTCAGCATTGACAAATGTTTCTACAGATGGTGTAACAGCCGCCAACTCCTCCATATCATCCATTTCATCACCTTCTTCATTGTTTTCCTCATGCTCATACCCATCTGATAGTTTTTGAGGAACAATTGCCAACTCCTCAACTCCAACCATACCACCATTAGCTCTGACATCACTCAGAATTTCCTCATTCAAGGAAAACTACTCGCTATTTTGATTTTTTTGAGATGATTTCGGAAAGTGATATCACTCAAATTACCCTAAGGAGTGAATTACTCTCTCAAATAAGAGGTCCAGTTGTAGTACTTAGGGATCGAATCCACAAGGAACTAAGGAACACAAAAGATATAATCCTAAGTGATTATACTAGGTTGATTAAGGTTTAAAAGTAAATTGCAGTTGTGAGCAATGGTGAGTTGATCAAGAGAATTGATTTTAGGTTTTAAACAATAAAGGAAAGTAGTTAGGTTCAAGGTTACTATTCAGATAATCATGATTATAATGCTATAGATGTCTTTATAAGTTGCTTGCAAGATATTAAAGAACTTCAACTCTTAGATAAATATATTACCTGTCACTATTAGACTCGTCTATTGATCTGACTGTCGGCAATATCGACTGATGGATTGATAGCGATATCGGACGATATGGGTTGCCGTCGATCGGTTACTCTATAGGAGTATCGATCGATATAGCTTCAGATCGAATTGAATATGTGTTCACCAAGATCATAGACCGGCTCTCACATCGTCCTTAGAGGATCTCAGCTTATACCAGATGATTTCAGGATGATGATTAACAAGTTAAATCATTCCATGATCATACTCTAGTTAGCTACTCTAGAGTAAGCATTAGGGTTCATCAGGATAATGAATATCACAACTCAACAATCCATAGTTGGGACTAATCCCTCATAACTATTTCAACCCTAAATCTAACAAGTGAATCTACTCAGACATGGCTAAGTAATTCATAGCAGCAAGGCAATAATAGAAATTCATTAGATTAGAAGATTCAACTCTTGGTTATTTTGAACAACAAATCTCTTTGTGTGTTTCTTCTAAATGTAGAATTCTATAACCTTTTATGAAAATGAGAATAAGATGAAAAGAATAATTTTATAAATCAAAGAACTAAGAACAATAAAAGAATGTAAAAAGCACCCTTAGCCAAAACACATAGGCATAACTATAAATATGAGTTCCATTAGGTTAAAAACTCGTCAGGGGCAATCTTTTAATATTGAGAGAACTTGGGCTTCAAGGTCGAGTCAACTTGTTCTTCACGCTTCATATCGTTCGATGGTACATGGTGTACATCGATCGATGGAGTATCTCAATTCGTCATCCTCTTCGGAAGCGTCGTCGATCGATTACACAAGATGTGTATCGATCGATATGTATCTCTGTATATCGACCTTATTGTCTGATCTTTATAGTCATCTCGGGAAATCTCTCATTTAAGTCCATAAGGGCACCTAAATCATCACTTTACTCCAAAATACTCCTGAACCTGAAAACATACCTAATAGACTCCAAAACACACACATATATATATATATATTATAAAATCATATAAATACCATGGTTAAAAGTGGGTCAAAACCATGGTATATCAACTCCCCCAGACTTAACCTTTTACTTGTTCCCAAGAAAACACAACAGTTAGTCTTTGAAAGAAGTTTAAAAACAGCAGGGACTCAATCAAATCTTAACTTAAGATCATAACCTCTACTTTGTTGCAAGCCACATCTCATATTACTAACTACAGAAGTACATTATACCATATCCTAGCTTAGCAACCAAATTCATCTAGCCAATCAACTTAGCAATCCTGTATGTCTATCCCCTCTACTGATTTCATTTATGCATAAAATAAAAGTGAAGGCTTTACCTTGGGAGTATCGATCAAGGAACACTTGGATTCAACTCAAACAAGTTTAAGTCATTCTCATTCTGGTTTCTTTTCTCCCTATATTCCCCTTCTCTGGATCCCAATTTTTCTTTTTCGTTTATATCATTCCCAATGAACAACAGATGTTCATCTTATTGATCTTTCTACAATTTTTTTTGTAGTCTTTTTTGACAAAGTGTAGGCGAATAGTGGAGTCATGGGTAATGTACCTCTCCCTCCCTTCCACAATGTGTGATCATTCTTTTGAATTAGAATATTGGGGTCATGGGTAATGTACCTCTCCCTCTGCCTCTCAGGAAATTATCTCAATCTTTTATTTTTCTCTTTAT